TTAACTCTGTTTTATCCTTCACAGATGCTGCCAGACCTGCTGAGCTTTTCCAGCAACTTTGTTTTTGTTCCTGGTTTACAGCATCCGCAGTTCTTTCGGTTTTTATTAAGGGTGAACAGACACCCTGATAGACAGGGTGGTGAAGATGACAAAAAGCAGGATCCTATATAGGAACATAGGAGTAGGATGAGGCCATTCAGCCCCTCAACACTGCCCTGCAACTGAATAAGATCATGGCTGATCTGGTTATGGACTCAACTTCAGTTTACTCCTTTGTTTCCCTTGTCTGTCTGGCATCCCACCAAATACCCATCTTGCTGTAACCTTCCTCAGTCATAGAATTGCACTACATGGTTCATTGCTTCCCAAACGGTTTCCTTATGCTGATCCCTTCTTGGTGCTGGTCACTTGCTGTGGCCTGACAACAGAGAGGATTGGAAGGTGTTGGGGAAGGAATGAGGATATGGCGGTGATGTCCTGGGAATGTGGATGTGAGGCTGTCACACGTGTAGGGATTTTGAGTGAAGATCACTTGCCTTTTACTTGGGTTTGTGAGGGAAGGAATCGAGCCTTTAGGATTGGGCCAGTTAGGCCACGCCCACTATAAATAAAACCTGTGAGAATAAAATTTAAAGGGGCTGTGCAGGGGTTAAGCTCGTCAGCCACCTCTGGGTTTGCAACATCAAAATGTTAATTTGAACAGCACTGTAGGTGGAGGACATTCGGTTCACCATATCCATACTGGCTGTTTGAAAGAGCTGTCAAATCAGTCCCATACCTTTTTATTTAGTCATTCATGGGATGAAGGCATCACTGGCTAGGCAGCCTTTATTGCCCATCCCTAATTGCCCAGAGGGCAGTTCAGAGTCAACCACATTGCTGTGTCACATGTAGGCCAGACCAGGTAAAGATGGCAGTTTCCCTTCCCTAAGGGATATTAGTGAACCAAATGGCAATGAGCAATGGATTCATAGTCATCATTAAACTCTTAATTCCAGATATTTATTAAATTCAAATTCCACCATCTGCCGTGGTGGGATTCGAGCCCAGGTCCCCAGAACATTATCTGAGTCTCTGGATTAACAGTCCAGCGATAATACCACTGCACCATTGCCTCCCCCGCTCTGCGCTCTTTCCCTTTGTCCTACAGAATTTCCCACTTCAGGTGTTTATCCATTTCCCTTTTGAAAGTTTGTGTTGAATCAGCTTCCATTTCCCTTTAGGCAAAGCAATTCAGAACATCAAAACTCAACTGTGGTTTTTAAAATCAATCTAAAATTCTCCTCATGTCACCTGTACTTCCTCTTGGTTTAGTTTTGGTTCTGTATCCAAGACACTGATTTGGATGTTTCGTCATATGTGTTGTCCAATGGTTTAGGTACCTCCAGGAAGGAGATCACAGAACATTGGGAATGGCTGGAGCTCAATCTCTTACAGACTCTATCGGTCTTTGAGAATGAAGAGGATGTGACGACCTTTGTCAAGGGGAAGGTTCAGGTTAGTGGCAAAATAATTAACAAACCTGTAATGTGAATTTTGAGCACTGACTCTGCTGCCTTCCCTTCCCATGGAAAAATGCTCTTCCCTGTGAAGGTGGGATGGTGGCATAATGGTAATGTCGCTGGAATGGATATCCAGAGGCCCACGCTAATGATCTGGAGACATGGGTTCAAATCCCACCATGGGAGCATGTGGAATTTAATTTCAGTTTAGATTTTTTTCAGCCAGTAAAGGCACGATTAGCCAAATGGTCTCTCTGTGTGCTGTAATTTTTCTGCGCTTCTATCAATTTATATGAAAAAAAAGGTCTAGAATTGAAAGCCAGTCACAGAGATGGTGACCATGAAAACTATTATCAATTGTCTCAAAATCTAACTGGTTCATTAATGGCAATTAGGGAGGGAAATCTGCCGTTGTTATGGCCTACATGGCAATATGGTTGACTGTCCTCTGAAATGGCTTGGGAAGCCCCTCAGTTCAAGGGTAATTAGGGATAAGCAACAAATGCTGACCACGTCTCATTAAAGAATTTTCAAAAAAATGTATCTGGGAGTCCACTACATGCTGATACTAAATTCCTCCTTTATCACTTAGAGCTGCTCAAAGCATAATTTCAATATTGCAGCTGGGGTAACATGGAATGTCCTGCTTACGTTATGAGCTCAACAACAACTTAGATTTATGCAGCCCCTTTGCTGCTTCATTAAAAAAAATGTCCCAAGGCACTTCACAGGAAACGCATCAAACAAAATTTGATGATGAACCACGTCAGGAGATATTATGACAGGTGACCAAAAGCTTGGCCAGTGAGCTAGATTTTGGAGAGTGTCTTCAAAAAAACAGAATGTGATAGATAGAGAAAGTTCTCAATCTTGGGGTCCAGGCTACTGAAAACAAGGCCATCTGTGCTTGGGTGATGAAAACCCAAAGATGTGCAAGAGGATATAATTGGAGAGGTGCAGGGATCTCCAAAGAGTTGCAGAGATCAGGAGAAGTTGGAAAGGTTTGAATACAAAATTAAGTTCCTGAGACTGGTGCACATGTTTGTCATGAGCAGGCTGGGGTTGTTTGGATCTGGAATTCGTCGCTAAAATGGTGATGGAAGTGGATTCGGTTGTGACTTTGAAAAGAGGATTGAATAAATACTTGAAAAGAAATGCTGAACAAAAAGTGGACTAATTGGATAGGTCATTGCGAGCCTGCAGAAAGGCATGATGAGCCTAATAGCCTTCTGCCTATTTGTATGCCAACTGTGTTTTCTTATGATTGCTCAGATTTTTGTTAATTTAAACATATCCAATTATATGAGGCAAACATTCGCAAATGGGAATAAGGTGCAGATCAGGCATGTTCTAATTTAGTTATGGAAGTAGCTTGAGGGGCTGAATGGCCTCCATATGTTTGGAGTGCCCATGCAGGATGGGGATATCTGTAGGTCCCTGAGAGATTGGCTGCCTCGGATCTGTATTTGGAACAAACACAGAAAATCTGGAGAGACTGAGCAAGTCTGGTAGCCACTGTGGGGAGACACAATTTTGAGTCCGGTATGTCTCTTCCCCCTGGATGCTGCCAGACCTGCTGAGTTTCTCCAGTATTCTCTGTTTGTTTCAGCGTTTGCAATATTTTGCCTTTTTAGGATCTGTATTTGTTGGGTGCTTTGTTCAGTCTTCAAAGGAACAGAGTTGAAATTGAGGTTGGGCTCTTCATTGAGGGAACTCAAGCCTGAACTCATCTCATTGATTAACGATTGCTGTCGTAGGAGCAGGAAAGGCCTATCGGCCCCTTGGGCTATACACATGAGGTCGCAGCTGACTTGTATCTTGACTTAATTTATTGGTCTTGGTTCCATTACTATCTCTGATCGACTAAAATAGTCATCTCCACTTTGATATTTTCATTTGCTCCTCCGCCAACATCTGCAGCTTTTTGGAAGAGTGTTGCAGATAGTCACTCTCCTTTGTGGAAGAAATACGTTCAACCCCCCACCCCACCCTGAGTGGGGGTCTAGCTCTGATTGTAAGGTCATGCCCCCTTATTCTGTTTTCCCTGGACCACCACCACAACTGAAGGGAAGGGTTTCTCTCTGTGTACCCCATGTAATCCTTTAACCATCTGCACCACCTTGATTAGATCTTCCCTTAATCTTCTTAATTTGCAGGGTATCCTCGCTGAGGAAAACAAAAACAAAGAGGTGAAGGAGGACGAGGATTCTGGAAAGTTCAAGGAGGCGGAACTGAAAATGAGGAAGCTGTTTGGAATGCCAGAGGTGGAGAAGTTGGTGAACTACTACTCATGCAGTTATTGGAAAGGCAGAGTGCCTCGGCAAGGATGGATTTACCTCAGTGTCAATCACCTTTGCTTTTACTCCTTCCTGCTGGGAAAGGAAGGTGAGAAATTCCACGAATGTCCTTTCATTCCAGGTGACTGCCTGGTGCCGATAACACAGTCACAGAGCAAAGCAATGGGGTCATCTTCAGGAGGGATGGAATTGGACAGCAGACAAATTAGGTTAAATTCATATTGAATTTTGGTGAGGTAACCTTGAAACACAAAGTGCTGGAGAAATTCAGCCAGTCTGGCAGCATTTGTGGAGAGAGAAACAGTGTTACCGTTTCGAGTCTCTGTTTGAGTCTTCTTCAGAACTTCAGAAGTGAGCAGTTACTGTATTACTGTAATAAATCCAGCACCTTGATGAGACCACAACTGGAGTTACGCTGAGCAGCTCTAGTTTCCATTTGATAAGGCCATTATAGAGGCACTGGAGAAGGAGCTGGGGATTTACTACAGTAATAACAGTAAGTGCTCACTTCTGCAATTCTAAAGCATTAACTTGAAATGTTAACTCGGCTTCTCAGGTACTGCCAGACCTACTGAGTTTCTCCAGCATTTTCTGTGCTTGCCCATTTTAGTTACATCTTTGCAAACTTCTACAGTGGTGAAGTTTAGGAGCTGGGTCGAGATATTACTTGACCTAACAAGGAATTACTTTGACTAATGAAGCTGCTCCTCTTGTTCCAGTGAAGTTGGTAATCCGCTGGGTTGATGTGACCCAGCTGGAAAAGAATGCCACCCTTCTCTTCCCCGAATGCATCAAGGTGAGCACTAGAGACCGGGAGCACTACCTCTCCATGTTCCTCAACATCAGTGAGACCTTCAAGCTAATGGAGCAACTGGCCAACATAGCCATGAGGCAACTGCTGGATAACGAGGGCTTCTCCGAAGACAAATATCTGCCCAAGCTCAGGAAGTCGCTCAAAAATGTGTCAATGCTTAAACGGTTTGTTTGTAACTCTTTCTTCTCTGGTGCTTTTGATGTGGTTTCGCGACTGCAACCAGCCCTCGGCTGGGTGCTCGTGATGGAAGTGATGACATTTCTCACTGACTGTCTCAAGTGTTGAAAAGACCAAATCAGTCTCATCTGAACCGAGGTCGCAGCTCTGAGGTTAACACCTCCGTTAGCTCGGCCGATAGCTGTCATGAGGTTGTTACTGTCAGAACTTAAGAGGTTGGAGAATGTTCAACTTCTTTGGAGCAGTGAGGGAACTTTGCCCCAGTGTTTTAGGGCTCTCTCAACTTGCAGGCCCAGATAATTCATTTAACTGATCAATTACCTTTGTAGCTGAGTACAAAAGGTTTGACACTTTTGCATAAATAACAGCAGCCTCTGTCCTTCAAAGTAATGCTTGTAGTCAAAACCTGTCTCAATCATGTGACTATGTGAATATAATGGTCACTGGCTCTTTGACCTCATCTTCAAAGTATTTTTTGGTTGTCTCCATTTCTTTTTGTCACTATTACATTCCTTCTCTTGTCCTCCTGGGCGCCTTCAGCCTAGGATATTCTATCACTTTGAGTTGCCAATGTTCTTATGATGCTGTTACCATTGCCATCCTCACTCCTGGAGGGTACCAGTCATGACTCATTGGTAACTTGGAGAAACTATTTCCTCTTGTGGGAGAATTGAGAAGGGGGCAAATTCTTAATAAAAGCCAAAAGAATTGCAGATGCCAGAAATCAGAAACATAAACAGAAATAGCTGGAAAGGCTATTGGTTTGGCAGCATCTGTGGAGAGAAATCAGAGTTAACGTTTTGGGTTGAGTGACCCTTCCTCAGAATTGATGGTAACTCAGAAAAGGTTTTTCTGGGGAAGTGGGTAAGGAGTAAACGATAGGTGGGGATAGAGCCCAAATAGAGAGAAGAACAGTTGGACAGACAAAGGAGTGGATGACGAGCTGGCTAGGAAAATGAATAGCTATTAATGGGCAATTAGTGGCTAGCAATGGATTGTGTGTAATAGTAGACCATGTATAACTAGGCCTGGTGTGTGGGGATTGGGGTAAGGAAATGGGAGAAGGTGCCTCAAGCCCTAAAATGTTGAACTTGATGTAGAATTCCCAAGCAGAAAGTAAGATGATGTTCTTCCAGCTTGCTTGTTCCAATGCTCTAGTGAAGCTCAGTGCATGAGACAGAGCTGTTGGCCAGGGAACAAGGCGGTGTGTTGAAGTGGCAGACAACTGGAAGGTCAGGGTATTTGTTTTGTGGAGAGAACATAGATGTTCTGCAAAGTGGTCACCCAGTCTACACTTAATTTCCCCAATGTAGACGAGATCACGTTGTGAGAAGCGAATGTAGTAGACTAGATTGTGTGAAGTGCAGGTAAAGTGTTGCTTCACCTGGAAGGTGTGTTTGGGCCCTTGAATGCTGAGGAGGGAGGAGGTAAGCAGCCAGCTGTTACACCTTCTGCATTTGTGGGGGAAGGTGCCGTAGGGCTGTGGGGAGGTGTTGGTAGTGAAGGAGGAGTGGACTAACGTATCCCGGATGGAATGGTCGCTGCAGAGGGGAATACGTATCTGATAGTGGCATCCCACTGGAGATGATGGAAATGGTGGCTAATGATCCTCTAGGTGTGGATGCTGGTGGGATGGTAGGTGTGGACAAGGGGGACCCTAGCGCTGTTGCAGGAGGGAAGAGAGAGAGTGAGGGCTGAAGTGCAGATGATGTGTTTGACACAGCTGAGGGCCCTGTCAACTATGCTGCTGGGAGATCCTCAGTTGAGGAAGAACGTGGACATTTTGGAGGCCCCCAAAGTTGGCATCATCAGAACAGATACGAAGGAGTGGAGGATCTGGGAGAATGGAATAGAGTCTTTACCAGAAGCAGGGTGTGAGGATATACAGTCAGGGTAACTGTGGGAGTCGGTTGGTTTGTAGTGGATATTGGTGGCCAGTCTGTCCCCAGAAATGGAAAAAAATGTTCAGGAAGGGAAGGGAGGAGTCAAAGTTAGACCAGATGAAGGTGAGAGCGGGGTGGAAATTGGAAGCAAAATTAATAAACGTTTCCAATTCTGGACGAGAGAGGGAAGCAGCACCGATGGTATCATTGATATACTGGAGAAAGAGTTGTGGGTGGGGGCCAGAATAGGACTGGAACAAGAATGTACCCCATAACGAGACAGACATAACTGGGGCACATGCGGGTACCCATGACCACCCCTCTGACTTGAAGAAAGTGAGAGGAGTTAAAAGAGAAGTTTGCATTCAAAAGTGACTTTTCGTGTGGTCAGGTTCTCACTTTATTTGTATACCATTGATAATCAGGCTGATACTCCCAGAACAGCATTGGGAAAGCATTGAAGCAATAATGAAGCATTAAACTGACAGTCTGTCTGCCCTGTGGCAGGTGGATGTTTTAAAAAAAAAGAAATCCCCCTGATCTCAGGAAGAGCTGGGGAACATTCCTGGGCAAATATTTATCCTTTAGCTAAAATAAATAGATTTTCATCTGCCCATTTACCACATTGAATGTTTGCTGTATGCGAGTTGGATGCTAAGCTTCCTACATGACAACAATAACCACGCTTCAACAGGTGCATCATTAGCTACAAAAGACATCATGAGCTGGTGAAAGGCGCAAATGCATGTTTATTTTCCCTTTGATGGTGGAAGTTGGTGTTGATGTCTACATGATGAGTTTCAGTCTTTGGAGCTGAAAAAAGGTTCAGGGTGTTAAGTCTTAATACATACTGATAAGCAACTTTTCCAGTTGCCATTTTCCTAGTCTTTCATTTTGCAGTCGTCTCTCTAGAAGTTTTTTTTTTACCCTTTTTCACTGATTGTCCCCTTTACCTGCAGGGACCTAGATGCTCGGGCCAAGAGTGAGCGATATAGATCCATGTTTCAGCTCCCAAAAGATGAGAGATTGGACGGTCACACAGAGTGCACTCTCTGGACTCCCTTCAATAAAATGCACATCATGGGACAGATGTTCGTCTCCAACAATTATATCTGCTTTTCAAGTAAAGAGGAGGATGTCTGCAATCTAATTATACCGCTACGTGAGGTGAGATAGGCACTTGCTCGCTAGGTGACCCGGTGCTGAAATTTTTTCAACTTCAAGTGCAGGCTGTGTCATCTAATTCCCGCATTTTTTTTTAAAATTAAATGTCAAATGAATTTCAATGTAAGTAATTGTGAGGTGATACATTTTGTTAGAAAGAATAGGGAAATCATGCATGGGTAGGATAATTGTCTAAATATGGTAATGGAATAGAGGTATTTGGGGGTACGGGTACACTTCATAAAAGGCACCAACACAGGTTAATTAGGCAATTTAAAAAAATACAAGCTGAGAGCTGGGTTCATTTCCAGAACAATCCATTTTGAATTTGTATTAAACGGTAGAGTGCACTTGTGTGGGATTCTGGTCTTCATGTTGTTAAACCAAGTCAGAGACATTGTTGATGGTACAAAAAAGATTTACAAGGATGATACTGGAGCAGAGAAGTTAATGTATTCGGAGTCTTCTCTGCTGAGCGGGGGAAGCTTTGACAATTCTGACGCTGTTCGTTGAGGTAAAATGCTGAGTAAATTAAAAGTTTAAAGTTAAGTACAACTTCAGCTGTAATGTGTCCAAGTCTTGATCTTCGATGAGTGTGAGATGATGTATCATTTTGTATGTTTCGTTAGGTGACAATTGTGGAGAAGGCCGATAGCTCCAGTGTCTTACCCAGTCCTTTGTCCATCAGTACCAAGAACAAAATGACTTTCCTTTTCGCTAACCTAAAGGACAGGGATTTTCTGGTGCAGAGAATCTCGGACTTTCTACAACGAACGCCATCTAGGAAACGTTCCATCAAGGAAGAGCTGCAAAACTCCAAGTGCACAGAAAATGAGGTAAATCAGAATCTGCTTTCTTTGATTTGATATTCTTAGCATTGTTTTCAAATCCCTTCATTGTCTTGCCCCCTTTCTCTTTCTTTAGGCTTCTCGTTATATTCCCGGTTTTTAATCACCACAGTTTTGGTGGCTGCTGCCTTGGCCCTAAGCCCTGGAATTTTCCCAATGAGCATCTCTACCCCTCTCATTCTCTCCTTTAAAATGCTTCTTTGACCAAACTTATAGTCACCTGCCCAAATATATCTTGACCTGGTCCAGCATCAAATTGTTTGATAATTACTCCTTGGGACGTTTTACAAAGATAGTTAACTAAGATTAACAGTTCCTGCTGCAATTCCATGTCAACCATAGTCCATCCAGTCAGCACCCTCCTTTTTGGTTGCATAAATTATTGTTCCCATTCTGAATTTGGTTTTCTTGTGATTCAGTCCTGATGAATGCAAGATGAAAATATTTGTTTGTGTCTCTCCCTGGCAATGTTTATGTTGTGTACTACAAGCAAATGCATTTTTGCTAGTTTAAAACAATTTATTTCCCTTCCCCAGTTCTGCTGCTCACTCATTGCCTTCTGCCATTCTTGAGACAACTTCTACCTAGTATATATGGGCGTCGCAAAGGAGAAAGATGTTGCAGATATTCTAGTTAATGAAGAGGCATGTGAAATATTAGGCAAAATATACCCAATATAAAGGGAAGTACCAGAGGGACTGACATCCTTGAAAATAAATCTCCTGAGGTCAGATGAATTGTGTTCTAGACTGTTAGGAAGCGAGGAACAGATGCCCTGAGGATCATTTTACAATCCTCTCTGATATCCAAGAGGATTGGAGGTCTGTGAACATTGTACTATGTTCAAAACATGGTGTGAGGATCAGGACAAATAATTATAGGCCGGTCAGTCTGACCTTGGTGGACAAATTATTGGAATCGATTTTGATTCTGTGACTTGGAAAAGCATGGCTTAATCAGGGACAGTCAGCATCCTTTTTGTTAAAGGGAAGAACTAACTTAATTTTCTGAAGAAGTAACAGGGATGATTGATGAGAGTAGTGTAGTGAATGTTATCTACATGGATTTTGGTAAAGCATTTTGCAAATTTCCATATGGTTGCTTGGTCAGAAAAATTAAAGCCCATGGAAGGGGGTTTACACATTGGACTCAAAATTGTCTCAGTGACTGGAAACAAAGGGTATTGGTGGACTGCTGTTTTTGGAAATGGAAAGTAGTTTCCAGTGGTTTCCCACAGATCTTGTTGTTTGGTGTCTTGTTGTTTGTGGTAAGTATTAATGATTTAAACTTAAATGTGAGGCATGATTAGGAAATTTGCAGACAGCTAGGAAAAGGCAGGGCAGTCAATAGTGTAGAGGATAGGTGTTGGCGACAAGGTGATACTTGAATGGGTGAAAAAGTGGCAAATGGAATTCAGTCTGGGGAAGTGCAAGTTTATGTATTTGGGGAGGGCAAACAAATTGAAGGAACACACAACCAACTGGAGGTTACTGAGAGGGATAGAGGACGTTAGAGACCTTTGGGTGTATGTCCACAGGACCCCAAAGATGACATGACAGGTAGACAGGTGGTGAAGGAGACATATTTTCCTTTATTGGTCAAAGCATGGAATATAAAAATATGAATCTAATGATGGAACTATATAAGAGACTGGTTAGACCACAGCTGTTATGACACCGTGTTAGATAAGGACAGAATTCCTTTGAAGGCTGTACAGCAGAGATGTATAAGAATGTTGGAGAGTTTGAAAATTGCAGCCAAAATGAAAGATTGGATATGTGAGGGTTGTTTTCCTTAGAGCAGAGGAGGTTGAAGGATGACTTAGTTGAGATTCATTATTAAGGGAACAGATTTAAGCAAGAAGGATTAGAGGAGACGTGAGGAAAAACCTCTTCATCCAGAATTTGGTGGGTGTCTGGAATTAGTTGGGGAGGAAACCGTCAGTTCGTTTAAAATGAACCTGGATTTGTACCTGAAGTTTTGTAACCTGCAAGGCTATGGACCAGGCTCTGAAAAGTGGGATGAGAATGGGCAGCTAGTTTCTTCAAACATGATGGGCTGAATGGCCTCTTTTTGCGCAGTAACTTTTCTGTAACGGTTATCTCTAATTGTTGCACCAGTGCCATCCTTGATGAACCGTCCACCTTTACCTAGCCTTCCTGTTCTTCTTGAATGACCCTATAATTGAGGACCCACTCCTTGTCATAGAGTCATGGAGTTGTACAGCATGGAAACAGACCTTTCAGTCCAACCCGTCCATGCTGACCAGATATCCTAAATTAATCTACTCCCATTTGCCAGCATTTGGTCCGTACCCCTCTAAACCCTTCCTGTTCATGCACCCATCCAGATGCCTTTTAAATGTCATAATTGTACCAGCCTCCACCACTTCCTCTGGCAGCTCATTGTGTACGTGCACCACCCTCTGCGTGAAAAAGTTGCCCCTTAGGTCCATTTCAAATCTTTCCTGTCTCATGTTAAACCTATGAGCTCTCCAGTTTTGGACTCGACCCCCAACCCCCCCTCCTCCCCACCCTGGTAGCCACATCTCTGTATTGGTTATCAGATCATATCTACTTGTTTCAATGCGCACTATTAATATATTTACTTTATTAATAGTTAATGTGTATTCAGATACAGAGTCTTTATTTTTGTAACATCTAGTCTTGACTGTTGGTTACTCTAATTTGGTCAAAGGTCAGGGAAAAGAGTGTGGACTGTATGTCAGGCAGGCAAGGGAACTCCGAAAGCCTCGTGCAGTCACACTCTCCCTGACCACTGACCCAATCAGAAGACCCCGTTCTGAGAATGTTAAACTTTTTGAAGAGAACTTTGAGGTGCTAAGGAACCTGTGCTAATCACTGGGAGAAGTGATGACGAGGTTACCCAGAGTTTCTGGTGAGCATTTTGTGGGTTTTTGTTTCAGGTTCTCCCGGAGCAGTGCAAAGTGTCCTCACCCAGTCCCTCTACACCAAGTCCAGGTGTCATCTTGGACAACACTGAAACTGCTCCCACCACCACCCACGCGCTGATGACCATCTTCCGAAAAGAGCCAATGGAGGAACTCAGTCCGAAGATGGTACGATGGCTTCGGAGTGACCAGTTGATGCTGGAACAGCCTGTTCAGATGCAGCGGGGTTGGAGGACTCGGCAGTGGGGAACAAGAGCAGGGAGGCTTGGAGGGATAACTCAACAGTGCAAGTTAATAAGCCTTAAAAGGAGAAGAAACCGAGCACAGGAGTTCATTTCTAAAGTGGTCAAATAACCTCTTTGCTTTTCAATTCTAAATTTTGTTAGAGTCTTGGTCAGACAACAGTTGTGGTCTCCGTCCTTTAAAAAGGAAATAGAGGCAGTGGAAAGGGTGCAGGAAGGATTTACTGGAAAGATAGCAGAGCTGAGAAATTACACCTATCAGGCAATGGATGATTTTGAATATGTGGTTCCCAAAATACGCAACCACTAAGGGTTTTCTTCACCTTGTACTTGGATCTTTTATAGCGTCCTTGATCCAGATTGGTTGCTGTGATTAATCGAAAACATTAAGTTGGCATTGTACCATGCAATTACCACAAACCAAAAAGGGAAAAATAGGTGGCCTGATAGCAGTTCTGCATGTTCCTCAAAGTTTGTATGAAGGTTAGGTGACTTCAGATGAATGAGGTTACCTGCAAAGATGGGGCTGTTCTCTCTGGAGCAAAGAAAGGTAGAGGGGAATTTGACAGAGATGTTCAAAATCATGAAAAGGCTTTGTGGAGTAAGGGGGAACTGTTTCTAGTGATAGAGGTTAATGGGAGGACACAGATTAAAGGCAGAGATAGTAGGAACTGCAGATGCTGGAAAATCTGAGATAACAAGGTGTCGAGCTGGATGAACACAGCAGGCCAAGCAGCATCATAGTAGCAGGAAGGGTCTAGGCCTGAAACGTCAGCTTTCCTGCTCCTATGATGCTGCTTGGCCTGCTGTGTTCATCCAGCTCTACACCTTGTTATCACAGATTAAAGGCAGTTGGCGAAACAATAAGAAGCAACCTATGGAAATGATTTTTGACCTTGTCCACCCCAGTTTAACACTGGCACCTCTACATCATGGAAATGATTTGGAATGGACCACCTAAAAAGTATGTGTGTCTTTATTTAATGGGTTAAAGAAAAATGTGTGAAAATCTTCTTGAGGTGGGGATTGGTATTGAGTGTGATGTGGGTGGAAGCAACACGTCACAATTCCATACTTCGACTGAAACATTCCAGGAGAATTAGTAATGTTGTGGTTGGTTGGCTCGCCGAGCTGGTTCGTTGTTCCGCAGACGTTTCATTACCCTGCTGGGTAACATCATCACTGCAGCGTCCATTGAAGCGCTGTTGTGTTTTCCTGCCTGGTATTTAAACTTAGTGTTCATTCAGCTGGATTACCTCACTTCCGGTTTTCCTTCGCAATGGAGTATATACAGGGTCTAGCTCTATGTGTTCATTGATGGCTTTCTTAGTGGAGTACCAGGCTTCTAGGAATTCCCGTGCTGGTCCCTGCTTTGCCTGTCCCAGGATCCTGGTCTTGTCCCAATCGAATTGGTGGTTTTCCTTTTCCACGTGGATGGAAATGAGTGAGTATTGGTCGTGTCTTTTTGTTGCCAGTTGATGTTTGTGTACCCTTGTGGTTAATTTCCTTCCTGTTTGTCCAATGTAGTGTTTGTCACAGTCTTTGCAGGGAACCAGCTCGGCGAGCCAACCAACCACAACATCCACAATCCGAGCAACAAATCTACTCTAAAGCCTTAAATGAGTGATGTTCCTTATTGTTTCCTATTGAATGTCTCTTGTTTTTGGGCAGGCTAAGGAGAAGATGAAAGAGGAATCCTGGAACATTCACTTCTTTGAATTTGGCCGTGGGATTTGTATGTATCGCACGTCAAAAACTCGTGATCTAGTGCTGAAGGGGATGCCAGAATCCCTGAGGGGAGAGCTGTGGCTGCTATTCTCAGGTATTGCCATGAGCAGAGAAAATGAGATGTGGGATATTACATGATTATATCTCCTTGAAATTGTAACAGGGTTGGGATTATGTTGAGAGAGTTCTTTTGGCTAATTGTGCACTTTTGACAATCTCTAGCTGTTCATGTGTAATCTGCATTAGACACCAAACTAAACAGAACATGGGAACAGGAGGAGCGTATTCAGCCCCTTCTGATAGTTATATAACCACTTGAACATTAATTCCATTTACTTGTCATTGTTCCACACCCTTAAAGCCTATGTCCCAACAAATTCCAATAATCTTAATCAGGAAAACTCCCAGAATCTATAAATGTGCATGTGTGTCTGTGTTTTTCTTATGCTGAAAGTACTTGTATTTTTTAAATCTAATTTTTACTCCGAAATTTGTGTTCTACAGTGAATAGAATAATGTTTGGCTTTGTTTAATTTGTACTTGTTTGGGTTACAGAGGGAAGGACATAGATTTAGTTTCATTTTAACTTGGTTCTGTGAATAACCCTGGGTTGCCTGGAAATTTGTCTACATGTACTTAAATGAGGCGTATTTTTAAAAGAAACCTTGAGGTGAACAGTTTCATGCTTAAGAAAGCAAGGTGAATAAGAGTATAAATTGGCCATTTGCATAGCAATAAGCCATACAGTGACACAGGGAGACAGACACAAACAATAATTGTTTAGAAAGAGGGAGAGAATTATCTAGAGCGTCAGTGAGTGGGCAGGTTTGTCTCCTTGTTCACAGAGAGAGAAACAGATTGTTTAGAGAGAAAAAGCGTGTAACACCAGCGCAGTTTGGCAGTCTCCAAAATAGTCAAGGCAGTAGGAGGAAAATCTTGAGTGGCTTAGAACCTAGTAAGAGAAAAGCTCCAGAAACTGGAGAGAGCAGCCCTATGGTCCTCTGGGAATATGGCGACTTTACCTTTACATGTTCACAGTAATAAAAAGGTAATTTCTTGATTGTAAAGCAATTTGGGACATCTTGCAGCTGTTAAAATGGTTATATAAATGCAATTTTGTCTTTTACTTTTCAATGCCAACTATCTCATTCCCACCACTTCATCTCCCTCGCACAGCCTTCAAAATTGGAAGCAATTATGAGCTGGCAGTAAGACTGGCTGCGTGAGTTGTAAGTCACCTTCCTTCATTGTGCCTCTTCTTCCTTGGTCCCATTAGGTGCTCTGAATGAGATGGTGACACACCCAGGATACTATTCTGAACTGGTGCAAGAGTCTATGGGAAAGTATAACCTGGCGACTGAGGAGATTGAGAGGGATCTGCACCGTTCGATGCCTGAACACCCAGCCTTCCAGAATGAGATGGGCATTGCTGCCCTGCGGAGGGTGCTAACCGCCTATGCATTCCGTAACCCCAACATCGGGTACTGTCAGGTGATTATCCTCCAGAATCAGCCTTCTTACTGCCAAGTAGAGAAGGAAGTGTCTTAGACATTGGGTGGGACTTGTGCACCTGAAACCATCTGGCTCAGTATTGCTTTTAATACAGAGTGAATTATAGCAGCTTCAACTTGGAATATTCAGTGAAATGTGGTCTATTCTCAAAGAGGGGGTTCTCCACCTTTATACATTATGATGAATGTTACTGATGTCCTTGCAGTGGGAGTAAATTGTTGGGTGAAATAAATTCAGGGAGAGCTCCTCCTTTATCTTTTGGTTAGGGGGAGTTCATGGCACCCCTCTCCCTCCCCCTGTTTTTTTTTCCCTTTTTACCTCTCTCATTCTTCTTTCTTTCTCTCTCTCTCTCTCTTTCTTTTTCTTTCTCTCTCTCTTTCTCTTTCTTTCTCTCTATCTGTCTCTATCTCTCTATCTCTGTGTCTCTCCCTCTTTCTCTTTTTGCCACTGTATCTCTCTGTCTTTTTCTCTCTCTTTCTTTCTCTTTCCCCCTTTCCCCCCTCCAAAAAAAAGCTGTTTTGTTGCAGAGAGATCATTCCCACTTGTATACACTGTGCCCTTCTCTGAAAGGACAGATACTGACCTCCTGATTCAACATTCCTTATAGGCCATGAATATTGTCACCTCTGTCCTGTTGCTGTACTGCAATGAAGAAGAAGCTTTCTGGCTCCTGATTGCACTCTGTGAGAGGATGCTGCCTGATTACTACAACACCAGGGTAGTTGGTGAGTTGAAACAGTCCTTTTACCTTCAGTATTGGGCAATGTACCACAGGCCTTGGATGGAACAGGTGTGCATCCAGCCAGGATCACCAACATGTTACTGGGGTGAAAAAAGTTATGTGAAGGGGACAGGTTACAGAGACGAGGCTTGTACTCCATCAAGTGTAGGAGATTAAGGATTAATCTAACTGAGATGTTTAAGGTGATTAAATAGGTTGATCAGGGAGATGGAGATAATCTCCTTTCTCATGTGGGATAAGATTTGAGAACCCTTTAAACTTATAACTGGTTATTAATAGGTAGTGGGTTGTGGAGGTGGTAAGATCTGCTGACTGTCTACCCCTTTTTTGCAGATACATTTGTTCCCGGGTGTCCTTGGACACGTGGGGCACACCGTGTCCATCAGTGCTCTCGATGCCTTTAGAGAGAGGTGGCCACTGTGGGGGATACAGTGCTTTATTTTCCTCTCCAGCTCCAATTTGATTTAGTCCCTTCCTGCTCTCCCTACATTTCTCCCCCTGGGTGCATCTTTGATGGTTTGCATTTGCCCATAATGGGATTTGGTTGTAAACATTCAATTGGATGCACGGGTCATTTTACTAGCTAGTGGTTACTATTAAAAAAAAAAGAGCCAGAAATTATATTTGGTTATTAACAGGTTCCTCCAACTCCATTTTGATTTAGTCCCTTCCCACTCTCCCTAACCCGCCCCCTCACCTTTGACCGTTTCCATTGCCCAAAGTGGGCTTTGCTTGTAAATATTCAGTAAGTTACATGGATGTTTTGCTGCTGGGGATTTTGGTGGTGGGGAGGTTGCTCACTTATGTGATAATGCTTCTGGGTAGAAAAAAGAAATTATAATTGGGGGGTTATTAACGGGTCCAGGCAGTGGAGGTGGTAAAATCTGCCAACTCTCTGCCCCTCTTCCGTGGATATGTTTGATCCCGGGTATCTTTGGAGAGGGAGCACCTGGTGTCCATCAGTGTTCTCGATGCTTTTAGAGAGAGGTGGGCACCGCAGGGGATGGAGTGCTTTATTTCCTCCTCCAGTTCCATTTTGATTTATCCCCTTACCACTCTCCCTACTCCTTCACCTTTGGTTTGCATTTGCCTGTAATGAACTTTGTACGTAAATACCTCATCGGCTGCATGGGTGATTACTGATGGTGGCTAGTAATTTAAGAACAAAAGATCTCCCAGTGTTTTGGTGATGGGGAGAAAAATTGTTCAGTTCAGATAACACTTCTGGATATATATAAAAAAAAATTCTAGATGCTCCGTTTGGGACTGATGGTCAGGAGTCATCTGTTTTATGTACACAAGGCATTTGCATAGGAGCATGAGGAAGCTGTAACATAGGAACAGGCAGAGCTATCCAGCTTCCCTCAAGCGTGTTGAATAGGAATAGGTGGCCACTCAGTCAATGAGCCCATTGCACAGGATCAGGAGGAGGCCATTCAGCCCTCAAATCGGTTATACAGGAGCAACAGGTTAAAGTGATTAGTAACTCGCAAGTATCTGGCTGTAATTAATGTACATTATGAATTAGTCATAAATTGATGTCCCTCTTGACCTTCAATTGGTCCTCCCTAACCTCTCAAGCATTTTTTTTTTGCTGGAGGAATAGGAAAGAGAAGGTCATGGCTGTTGAAAGTTAAGTCATCTTGGCTCCAAGACAACTGTGCAGGAGTCCCTCAGATGTAGTGTCCTAGGTCCAACCATCTTCAGCTGCTTCATCAATGACCTTCCCTCCATTTTAAGGTCAGAAGTGCAGATGTTCACTGATGCTGAACATTGCTCATTCGTTACTTCTCAGATATGGGAAGCAGCTAAGGTATAAATGCAGCAAGGCCTGGACAATATCCAAGCTTGGGCAAGCAAGTGACATGTAACATTCGTGCCACACAAGACCCAGGGAATGACTATCTCCAACAAAAGACAATCTCACCATTACCCCTTGACACTCAATGCCATTGCTGTATCTGAATATCCCTATTATTAATTAACATCTGGACTTTACAATTGACAAGAAACTGAACCGAAGCATGTGATATGAGAAAAGTCCTTTTCGCACGGTGAGTAATTAGAGTATAGAATGCACTGCCAGACAGGTTCAGTTGAAACATTCAAGAGGGCACTGGATGATCATTTGGATATGGGGAGAAAATGCAGGAGATTGGCACTGGGTAACGATGCTTATTTGAAGAATGTGCAAACACAATGAGCCAAATGGCCTCCTCCTGCACTGTGACAGTTCTTAGATCCTGAGTGTTCCTTATTCTTCAGCGCATTTTGGGTAGACAGGTGGCCGTCTGCTTTGGTTATGTCCAAGGTGGGAAGGCTTGTGGATGACCTCCTCACACTGTCGGCAATTGAGTTGTCAAGGCATTTAATGTCCACTTAAGGGCCTTGTCCTGTTGCTTGTGGGTTTCGAAATGAGGATACCTCGTTCAGAGCCACTTAGTACCTGGCATCAGAAAGTGGGTGTTTTGCTGAGAGCTAGCACCTACTTTTGCTGTTGAATCCATTGTGAATCCTACCATCATTCAACCATGCCTGGGCAGTCCTAGCTCTCTGATGCATTACCAACAGCAGCCACTGTCTCTCTGGTGCTGCTGAGCAGTAAGAGCAGTCTGCCTCGGACTGATTGACTTGAAGCTCTGGGCAGGTGACCCTATGTTCCTGGGGTCCTTGATCCAGGGGAAAACCTACTGCTGCCCAGCAGGTAAGTGTCAATTGGCAATTTATGTGTTGGGCCTTCCCAAAAAGCTCTCCAGCCATGGTCTCCGTTAAATTCCACCCGAAATAAGAACCACATCCATACCCTGCCCTTCCACGCACAAGTTACCTGTTTGGAAACTTCTGGATGAAACTTGGCTGAATAAAGTCTTCAGTGGGACTTGAACCTTTGAGTGACAATTAATGAAGAAACCCAATATCTGATCTGTTGCACTACAGACCTGAATGACAGTTCGGAAGATCCACTATGTATCTGTCACATTAAATACAATCCTTGGAAGTGCTTAATGGGACAGTCCTTATCTAACGTGTGTTGTATCTGCCCTGGGGATGTCCAATAGGAACGTCTGGAGGAAGTTTTACATTATGTCTAATGCATGGTGCTGTGGGAATGACACTGATAGAATGGCATTAGGGGCGATGAGTTTGATTGGCTTGCTTACTGTTGGGAGAGTGATGTTGGAGTCCAACATCAATGGAACAAGCCAGTGTGTTCAGAGTTCTTGCTTGTTACATAGACTGAATGGCCTACCCCTGCCCCATTCCCTATCAAGCCTACCCTGCCACCCAATATGATCTACCTCGACACCAATTTCCTGCACGATCCACACATCCTTTACTATCTAGAAAATCAATAAAATAAGTCCAATAAACAAGGATAGGTGATGATTTATTTTCTTGCAGGTGCACTGGTGGATCAAGGTGTGTTTGAGGATCTGACACGGGAGCACCTTCCCCTCCTCTACGAGTGGATGCAGGAGCTGGGTGTCATCAGCACTATCTCTCTCTCCTGGTTTTTGACGCTGTTCCTCAGTGTCATGCCATTTGAAAGCGCCGTGGTAGTGGTTGACTGCTTTTTCTATGAGGGCATCAAAGTTATCTTCCAGGTGTCTCTTGCTGTACTGGATGCCAACATGGAGAAGCTGCTGAATTGTTCTGACGAGGGAGAAGCAATGACTATTCTTGGCAGGTGATTAACTGATCCTGTGCTTGGCCAATCCCTAGGTCGTATTCCACCCTGGAAGAATTGTCTGACTTTGGTAGATGCTCAGTGTGGAGGAGGCCATTTTCCCCATCTTACCTGTGCCAGATCTTTGAAAAAGCTATCCAATTAACCCTACTTCCCTACCATTGTGCTGTAAATATATCCTTTCCAAGTATATATCCAATTCACTTTTGAATGTCATTGTTGTTTTGCTTCATCCACCGCCTTCCTAATGAATGATGCAATGTACCTCACGAGAACAAACTTGACTGTTAGATTTTTGAATTTCATTTTATTCATTAATGAGATTGACCAGATAGTGCAGGGAGAGCACTGTACCTAACCCCATGGCATATCTGACCCAGGAGTGTTTGATGGGAACAGTGTATAAGGAGCGTTACTGTTTATCTAAAGTGTTGTGCCTGTCCCAGCAGTGTTTGACGGGGACAGCGTAGAGAGAACTTAACTCTGTATCAAGCTCCGTGCTGTACCTGCCCTGGGAGTGTTTGATGGGGGCATTATCAAGGGAAGCTTTATTTTCAGTTTAAGAATAGAGGAAGCTTTACCCTAAAACTAATCCCATGTAGTACCTGACCTGGGAATGTTTGATGGCAACAGTGTAGAGGCAGTTTTACTTGCAATTTAAAAGAGAGAATTTTATTTTGTATCTAGCCCTCATGTTGTACCTGTTCTGGGAGTGTTTGATGGGGGACAATGTCAAGGAAGTTTTACTTTTACTTTAAAAGAGGGAGGTTTGTTTTCAGTTTAAAAGAGTAGAGGGATCTTTGTACCTAACTTAATGTTGTCACTGTTCTGGAGATGCTTGATAAGGACAGTTTTGAGGGAGCTCCATTATCAGTTTAAAAGAATAGAGCTTCACTCCATAGCTAATCCCATACTGTACCTGACCTGGGAGTGTTTGATTGGGACAGTGTGGAGGATGTTTTGCTCCCTATCTAACTCCATACTCTAGCTGCGTTGGAAGTATTTGATGGGGACGGTCCAGAAGAAGCTTTACTCTTTAATCTTAATGTAGAAATTAGCTGTTTGAATTTGCAAATTACTCTGTCCCTAAGTTCTAACCTAGGGTATACAGTTTGCTCCAAAATGCTGTCACATGTTGGTTCTTATACCTGTGCAGTAATTGTCCATTGAATATTTTTTCCAACCTAATTCAGGTACCTGGACAATGTTTGCAACAAGCAGTGTACAACACCGCCAATCCCACATCTACATGCTTTACTCACCAATGGTGATGATCTTCCACAACAAATAGACATCTTTGAACTGATTAAGTCATCGTATGAGGTAAGTCCTTAAACAAAAGATCCTACGAAAGATTAAATTGTTTACTTTTGGACTCCTGTCTCGAAGGGAATGACTTGTTCTGCAAAACATTTGCTGGGCCAGTTGACCAAGGCTGACCTACAACTTCAACTCCTGCCTTCCTCTGGCCTCCCTCCTCCTTCAATCCTGATATTTTTTTAAAGAAAACTAACCTGGCAACGCAGATCCCTGAAATTAATGGGACCTTGCTGTGTCTGTGTAGGTGTGTTGGAGCAGAAGTTGTACCTACTGCTGATCTTGATTTTCACCCTTCCATCACCACCTCCCCCCACCTGACTTTGGAATTTACATGGTTGTTGTGTGTGGGGTGGTTAGGGAGTCGTGTTTGAGACACCAAAGAATTCAATATCAGCCCTTGGAAATCGTACTCCTGTTGGCAGTAGGCACTGACCTCGGGAGAGTTGTTTGGTTGAGCAGTCATGGGAGCTGAATTACCAGGTGAGATCGACTCTCTCAATCTTTTTTTTCTATGTTTAGAAATTTGGGTCAATCAGAGCGGATGCGATTGAGCAGATGCGATTCAAGCAGAGACTGAAGGTCATACAGTCACTGGAGGACACAGCAAAGCGGAGTGTGGTAAGGGAAAAGGTTTCTCCACCATCCTGAAAACAGCTAGTCAATCGCAACATTGCCATGTTACAAAAACGGCTTGTTTGATTCGTTCATGTGGTGTGAGGGTCTCTGCTAATACCAACATTTAATCCCCATGAAGGTGAAGCTCAAGCCTCACCGTGCAGTAAAAACTTAATTCTGCAAACAACAGAAAGTTTCCTGTTGCTTCCTCAGTTTGCCAAGTGGCTGTGCTCGTCTGACTCCGTGATTGGGCTGTCAGCTCTGTTTGAGAGGGACCATGAACTGGTTGTGAGAACAGTGTTTGTTTATTTTCCTCTACTGCCCTCATGGCTCCCTACTCTTTCCCTGGGATTAGTGACACTTACCAACTCAGCAGAGACCAGTGACAAAAGCTTAGGGACATTGCTCAGTTCTATGCCTGTGCACTGGACGATGAATTTGTGGTCTGGGCCGTTTGGTGGAAGCACATTCTTATTATTTTGTTAAAGGAAGCCATTTGATCCATCTTTTTATATAGTCCCCCAGGCTCGTTCTCCATGCCTGTAGCTCTGCAAGTTTATTTCCCTCGAGTGTTCACCTAATTCTCTTGACATCATTCGTTGTTCATGCGGATAATTGAAGCAGGGACAAAAGGTTCCAGATCCATCCCAGACCAGTTACTACATTAAAAAAAGTTATTTCTGGCTTCACTCCTGCTTCTTTTGCCTAAAACCTTAAGTCTATGCCCCCATCAGCTAATGGGAACACTTCTTTGTGACACACTTTGAGAAAAGTAGACAGTCTTCCAGACCTCTATCAAATCTCCTCTAGTCTCAACTTCTCCTGCTGCAAGTGGACTCAGCTTCTCCAACTCAACCTTGTAGTTAAAATCCTTCATCCTTCGAGCTGTTCTGATAAATGTCCTCTGTACCCTCTCAGAGATCCTTGAATCCTTAATAAACTAGACATGATAGTCTAGTTGTAGCTTAACTAGTGCTTTACTAAAGTTCAGCTAAAATCTCTGCTTTTGTACTCAATGACTCCATTTAGGAAGTCAAACGCCTTGCTAACTGTGCTTCCGATATATCCTCTGTGGGGCTGGAGGAACACAGCAGGCCAGGCAGCATCAGAG